TTGGAAGGGGTGTGGAACGGGGGAAAGTGCCCACAAAATCTGCAATAAAAAAAAAAAACCCAAACAGCAACACTCCACACAACCTCGACTCCTCCTTCATCTCCCATCTAAAAATACCCTAAAAGATAAAGAATGAAAGGGAGGAAAAGCACATCTTGGGTCCAATATAAATAAATATTGGGTGGTTATATGAACCGTGAACACATGAGGGACTTTTGTGGTTCCTGCTTTGACCTTCTAAGCATATTTTCAAGCACAACAATTAGGCATTTCCCAAGAAATTACCAATCCTAATGGTCAAATGTGGGTCAAAGGCCATTCTCCTACAACCCCCATCTCTGAGGGTAAAAATGATTGATAACCAAGTGAGACTATTTGACGACAGGCCAATTTTACTCAACTTATTTTTTAGTAATGGGAAAGTAAAGAGAGCCATAATTTTTCAAGGGCTTTTAAGCACTGAGGTCAGGGAGACACAGGATGGGTCCCCATTCTTGACTATCCAAAATAAACAAACCCCAAATCCAACGTTTCAGTCACAGCTACCTAATCTCAGACTTGCGCCTAAAAGAAAAAAAAAATCCTCATTAAGTCCAGGTACATGGGACAGGGATCATAAACTTTAGCAAGAAGCACATTTTTAGGTTACTCTCAGCCCCGCAGGTATCCGTGAAGCCTGAGGAATCAGGGCGAGCTCAGAAGGGCGGGAAGGCGAGGCAACCCTGGGAGAGACGCTCAGAGGGCTGAGAATTGCCCGGCTCTTAGGAACACCAAGGCCCCCGGGCAGGCTCGAAGCTCCCAGGAGGTTAGACCGCGAGTGGTGAAGGCGGGAGGACGGGGGTATTTGCCGAGAACAAGCCGAGCAAGGGGCCGAGAGAAGTGGTCCAGTACCTCACTGCCTAGACGCCTAGCAAGCGGGGTTTGAGAAAAACCTTGAACCCGAAGTCCTCATCACTTCCGGCATGGCAAAGCTCAATGAAAAGGAACATCTGTGGGCCCCTTAGCCTACCTTGCCTGGGCTTTAGAGAGGTCTGCGTGTACTCCTCCCCCACCTTCTCCAGTGTCTGCTAGTAACCCTCAAAGCACCCAATGGCGCCCTTGGTCTGGGCTCTTTTGATCCCTGGAATAATTCAGGGCACCCTGTTCGCCCTTAAACGTGCCTCTGGCTTGGCCCAAATGGCACTGGGCGCTCCAAACCCGCCGGGCACCCAGGCCTTCTGCAAGGTGGCCGCCCTCGCGGAAACCACGCGGGACTGGCGAACGGTAAAGCAATTGCAAGGGCAATAAAAAGCAGCTCAGTGGGTCCCCCAGATCCTTTCTTGTCCACCTCACTGTCCCCGGCTTACCCCCTCCCTCCGCCTGCAGAAACAATCAAACAAAGGCTCAAAAGCCAGGAAATGTCCAATTCACTTCCCTTAGAGTTTATTAATCGCCCACACCCATCACAAGGACACTTGGCTGTGCTCAGTGAGGAACGGAGGGCTCCGGGGAGCCTCAGTCACCACCATCCCTGCGCAGCGGGAAGCCACAAGCACCAGCCTGGGCATCCCCAAGACCCGGTCCTACAGCCTCAAGGCGGCTGAGCGCGGCGGGGCCTCCGGGTTCGGGCCAGCTCGGCGTTTACAGTCCCTCCCCAGCCTTCTCCTGCCTTTGTTTGGCTCTGGAAGGAGGTTGGGATTCCGGGTGTAACAGGGAAGTCTGAAAATCGATGCTCCCCAAGAGCACCTGTTGACCCCAGAAAGGGCATTTCCATAGATTGCCACGTTGCTGCCCCCACACAAGCACCTCCGCGGCAAAAGCGCAGATAAGGGCATGAATTTTAGGGTCGGCCCTGACAACCAGCAGCACCGCAGAATCATGGAACATGGGGCTGAATCCACAGATGGGAACTGGCATAACGACTTCTATACACTCCTGCTTGCCTTTTTTTTTTTTTTTTGGAAACCATTATTATTTTCTTCAACGCCCTGGAAATTGCTGGTGTTTATTTAGGAAGTGTGACACAGTTATTGGGTTCTTAGAAACTGGGGATGTTAAGGGGGTTTGATTTGGCTCCCAAATGGCTTGAAAAAGAAACAGCGCACCTGGGGTCAGGCGGGTCATCACAATAACAAAAAGCGCGTCTACAAAATAAAAAGCTCTTTTATAAAGAAAGGCAATCCCGGAAATCCACTGCGAGCCTTCCTGGTGACCATCTAGCTAGGCCTATTCTCAGGTTTAATTGGCAGGCGGTTTATTGGCGCCTTATTGGTGTTGATTGAAATTTTGCTCCCAGTTCTTCCTTTTAAGAATTAGCATCTCAAGTCGATTTACCTGAGTCAATTATCTTTTTAGAGTCTGGGTTTGGCCATAAATTTGCAAATATTCATTAAACGCACTTTGTAAATATCCCTTTTTCCAATCGCCACCCAAATCTCTATTATTTCCTAAGAAAGTCTTTTCTTTTTTAAGGCTTCCATAAAAAGAAATTGATCAGGGAGCTATATTTGAATTAAGACATATTAAATCGATGACAGATACATATCATGCTGTGTTTAACAAGAGTTGTACAAGGAGGCGGGTTCCAGATTCCGCACGGCTCTGCTGCACCATTATTCACATTTTTACAGCCTTTCCTTCATGCCTTCACCCATTAAACCATTAAATTTCAGCAATTCAATAAAACAAAGCAGTTATAATTTTGAGGAAAAGCTATTTTGGAAGGGGTGGAGGTACCCATTTTATTGCACAATAAAAATGCTCAGTAGTCCATATTAAAAGGTAGGTTGTGTTTATTTTCCTCTTTATTCGTTCATTTTTTTTGTTTGTTTTTACTTATAACCTGATTGAATGCAAAGCTGCTATTATGGGAGTAGTGATGATCATTGCCAAGAAATTCAAATAAGGGAAACTCCTTTGAAATGTTCTGAGAGAGGATGGAGACAGTGGTGACAATTCCAAATATGCTTTCCCAGAAACCATCCATAGAGATGGCAGTCCTCGCTACACTTTTGCCTGGTTGACTTGAGACGTTTTAAGTCTTTGAAAGGAAAATTGTGAAAGGACTCATCCTCTCCAAATACAGATGTGGATTTTGTCACTGTTGTTTATTAATTTTTTTCGTTGTGTTTGCATTCATGCTTTTCTTACTTCCCCGTATTTGAACTTCATTGAGGCTTAAAGAAAAAACCTATTTGAAATTTGATTGTAGTATTTTCTTTGTTTGCTTGTCAGGTTTGTAAGAGGAATGACATTCCCAAGGCTCACAGGGAAGTTCCCTGTTAAACATTGCTCACACCGATGTAAATGGAGCTATCGAATTAGTTCTTTGGAAAATATTTCTTACCACTTCCCAGGACCATCTCCTAGGACCATAAAGATGATGGCTTTATGCAGTCTATTTTTCCTTGGACTGCAAACGAATTAAACTGGTAACTTGTTTTTTTGCATCCCCAAAGGGGGGGGGATCACATTTTAGTCATTATGACTTTTTTACAAATAATCTTATGCAGGGCAACAAAATAAAAATTAAAACCCCTGACTTAATTTTTTAGCATCTTGGAACATCACAAAATTTTAAAGTGTTTTCTTTTTAAGAGCTGAAGTGATACTTTTGGGCAGCAACAACCCTAAAGTTTGGGGATGCCACATTTCTCCCCCCCCCCCAAAGTGATGCAGGAACCTATTTCTCTTCTTAAAGAGGTGTGATAACAAACAAATCCTTTGAAAAGGATGGGGCTTTTTTTTTTTAAAGCCAGTTTATATAGTTTTCAAATAAGACAACTCGCCTTCTCTATTAGTTTACTAGAAAAACGATGACAAGGTAAAGGGTTATTCTATTAGTAAGTAAATATCGAAAAATTGCTTGATTTTAAAATATTCATTTTATTGGATCAGTTTTAATTTGTGGTCCTTTCAATGAAACTGAGGCACACATATGGAGTGCTTTCTGAGCTGGAAAGAAGTTCTGCGTAAAGGATATTGTTTACTTAGCCGCTTCCCTCTGGAGAGATGCTGTTTGGCCTGCCCTGCCACTGTATCTCAGGGACGCAAAAGTTAGAATCGCTGCCCGATGTTCTCCCACCCCTACCCGTAGATCTAATTGGAAGTGGCAGATCTAGAACTGAGGAGCAGTGAGATTACACTTCGAGCCAACTCCTGTGAACCACGTTGAAAAGGACTGCAGGAGCTAAAAAGTCGAGGTAAAAGGGTTCCTTTTCGGGAAAGATTTATTTTGACTCCACCCGGTGTCTTGCAGAGCCAAATCACTTAAATTGTTTTTGCAACCAATAGGACTTTAATATCCTTCCTCATTCCGTCGCCTGTCGCTGAGCCCTACGTGAGCGCTTGGCAGATTGGGTGTCCTTCCCCAGTAAGAAGTTTCTAGCATCACCTCTACAAGTACGACGACGGCTATACTCTGTTCACCGTCCTTCTAAAGAGAGCAGCCCAAGACTCTTCCAACGGAGGAGGTAGAAAGTGTTTGCATGCTGGAGGAGACGCTGCGTGCGGTGAGGCGGACGTTTTTGAAGTTGGGGGCTATATCCCCCTCCCTCCTTTTGTCCCGGGGCTGGGGGGGGTCACCAGCCCTTACCCACCCCGCGCCCTTCGGCCGCGTGCCGGCGCACGCTCTCCGAAAGGCGCGCCATGGGAACGCGGGGCGCTGCGCGCGCAGGCCCAACGCAAACTTTCTGCAAGTGCAACTTGGGCATCCCCTGGAAGGCGGGGACGCAGGACTCCAGGGGAGGAGGGGGCGCGAAGCGAAAGCGAAGGAGGCTGCGAGCACGGGGGCGGATCCCTGCTGGGCCGAAGGCCTGAATGGGAGCCAATCCGGCAGCCGTGGCTGCTGCCAATCACGCTGTTCCCTCCAATCCCACCCGTGCCATTTCCAAAAATCTCGGTCCCACTGTGCAGCTCAAATGTGGTGTTCGCTCTGCCAATCGCTGGAGGACAGAGTGGGAACAGGAATATGCAGAGTTAGGAAGCCAGGACAAAGAAGTTAAAGAGAGCCTAATATATACATGTTTTTGAAGGTGAGCAGAGGAAAAAAAGTCCCCCCAGTGAGGGTCTATGGGTCTGATTGTGTAGTTCTGATGGAGCCCCCCTTGAGCAAGAGGAACCCGCCAGCGCTGAGATTAGCGGATTTGGCAACGGCTCAGGCCAGGCCGCTTCAGAATATGACAGGCTTCCCGGCGCTGGGCAGCCCGCCCGCCCACTCCCAACTCCGCGCCACAGCCACGCACCTCCGCCCTCGGGACCTGAGCGCTGACCCCGGCGTGGCCATCACTCCGCTCGGACCGGAGCACATGGCTCAAGCGAGCGCGGTCGGCCTCAGCCCACCCTCCCAGGCGCTCCCGGCACAGCCTGAGGCGCCGGCGGCCGCCGCCCGCGCTGCAGCCTCGGTCGCGCACCCCGGCGCCTGCACCTACCCCGGTGGCGGGGGCAGCAGCCGCGCGCAGCCCTCCGCGCCCCCGCCCCCAGCCCCTCCTCTTCCTCCCTCCCCTCCACCCCCTCCTCCTCCCCCTCCCCCTCCTCCTGCCCTCTCGGGCTACACCACCACCGACAGTGGCGGCGGCGGCAGCAGCGGCAAAGGCCACAGCAGGGACTTCGTCCTCCGGAGGGACCTTTCCGCCACGGCCCCCGCGGCGGCCATGCACGGGGTCCCGCTTGGAGGGGAGCAGCGGTCTGGCACGGGCTCCCCCCAGCACTCGGCCCCGCCTCCCCACTCGGCCGGCATGTTCATCTCGGCCAGCGGCACCTACGCGGGCCCGGACGGCGGCGGCGGCGGGGGCCCGGCGCTCTTCCCTGCGCTGCACGACGCTCCGGGAGCCCCCGGCGGCCACCCGCACCCGCTCAACGGCCAGATGCGCCTGGGGCTAGCGGCGGCGGCCGCAGCCGCCGCGGCTGAGCTGTACGGCCGCACCGAGCCGCCCTTCGCGCCGCGCTCCGGGGATGCGCACTACGGGGCGGTGGCGGCTGCTGCAGCCGCCGCCCTGCACGGCTACGGAGCCGTGAACTTAAACCTGAACCTGGCGGCCGCGGCTGCGGCCGCGGCGGCCGGGCCGGGGCCCCACCTGCAGCACCACGCGCCGCCCCCGGCGCCGCCGCCGCCGCCGCCGCCGGCGCCCGCGCAGCACCCGCACCAGCACCACCCCCACCTCCCAGGGGCGGCCGGGGCCTTCCTGCGCTACATGCGGCAGCCAATCAAGCAGGAGCTCATCTGCAAGTGGATCGACCCCGACGAGCTGGCCGGGCCGCCGCCGCCGCCGCCACCGCCCCCGGCCGGCGGCGCCAAGCCCTGCTCCAAAACTTTCGGCACCATGCACGAGCTGGTGAACCACGTCACGGTGGAGCACGTGGGCGGCCCCGAGCAGAGCAACCACGTCTGCTTCTGGGAGGACTGTCCGCGCGAGGGCAAGCCCTTCAAGGCCAAATACAAGCTCATCAACCACATCCGCGTGCACACGGGCGAGAAGCCCTTTCCCTGCCCGTTCCCGGGCTGCGGCAAGGTCTTCGCGCGCTCCGAGAACCTCAAGATCCACAAGCGCACTCATACAGGTGGGTGTCTGTCCCCGGCCGCGTCGCCGCCGCCGCCTCCCGCGCCGCCGCCGCTTCCGCCGCTGCTTCTCTTTCTCCTTCTCCTCCTGCTCGCCTTAATTTTTCCCTTCTTCTGCTGCTTCTCTTCGCATACGTATAACCCGGACATGTGACTTCTTTTTTTTCTCTCCCCCCCTTTTTTTCTATGAATAAGTAATTCGATAGCACACACAGGCCCCGCGCTGGGTTCCCACACGGTGGAGTCTCCAGCGCGTCCACAGCCCCTCGGCCGTGACCGGCAACGCGCTCCAGCCGCCGCCGCCGCCGCCCCGGAACGGAAGCAGCAGCAGTCGGAGCAGGAAGGCGCCCAGGACGGTCGGCAGCCCCCATTCGCCCGGCCCCGGGAACCTGGGGAGGGCGATGGGGAAGGGAGGCCGGAGCCGGAACCACCCCGGTGGCTCTTCCCTCCTCCCCACCCGGTGGCAGACTCCTTGCGGTCGCCGTGCTCCGAAGAGCGGGCGTGCGAGGGGGCACGTGGGATTTGCTCCAGTATTGAGGCCACTAGGCCCAGCTCGTTGCGGCCCCAACAGGAGGGGAGGGGTCCCGTCCCTCCGGGGCGTGGTGCAAAATGCCAAAGGAATGCGCCCATGGGCCCCCGAAGACCTCCCCCCCACACACTCACGCACCCCACAGGTACATCTTCACGTGCACACAACCCACAAACCACTTTACACAGCCATATCTGATACTACCCATCTCTGCCTCATTGCTGGAACGCCCATATGTTCTGACACACTCCTCTTCCACATACACCCTCACGCACACTTCATCATTTACACACCTTCACACACGCCGATGCTCATACACGTAGCATCACACAGCTCTATCACACACATTCCCACATGCCCGAGAAGGTGCTGGAGAAATTTGCTCTGTCCTTTCAAAAAAGGTTCTAGTTGGAGGAGGACAGGGTGAGCCAAAGTCTCCTGCGCTCGTTGGTACCTGCCCCGCGGAGGAACTTGTGGGGAAATCCCCGGCGCTGTGGCTTCCCCTCCCATCCCAGTCCCCCATCCTATCCCCCCCCCGTGAAGGCGGCTGCGGCGTGGGCCGGTGGGGTGTTTCCTGTGGGTCGTGTGCCCCCATCTAACGGGCGAGCGCTTTGGGCGGAAGCGCTGATGAGCGCGAGCAGTCGGGATTTATAGGGACAGGCAATATTACCCCTCGGAGGACACTTAAGTAACTGGAGTTTACAGTCAGTAATTACTGAGCTGATTTATCGGCGCTGGGCGGCGAGGAGGCAGCCGCCGCGCGTGGGCCCATCGCCTGGCTAGCGGCCGGGGCCGAGGGCACCAGGGACATCTGCGGGCGAAGCCGGGTCGGGGTGACGCAGGCCCGGCGCGGCGCCTTGCCAGCTGTCGGCCAACACCTGAGAGGCCTCATGTGGACCGATGATGGGCCGGGAAGAAGTCTTCCCGGGAACTCCCTGGGTCATCCCCGTTTTTCGAATCGGGATCGGTCCGCCCTAGGGAGTTGTCCGAAAGGAAAAACTTCCCTTGAGGCTTTTGGAAAAACTCCGTGGCCCGCTTAGCCAGTTGTTTGCCCCATGCCCAGCACTTGCCGCCGGGACAGGGGCCTGGGACCGTAAAGGAGGCACGCGGGGCGCAGGAGGTGAAGCAGCCCCCAGCCCCGTCCCCAGTGGGCACCCTGAAAGCAGAGCCTGCGTCTTTGGGCCCTTCCCGCCTTTGCAGGCCTCAGAGAGAGAGTGGACCTGTCTTTTCGCGGCGGCCGGAGCTAAGGGCAGTTTCCGCCCGGGTGGAGCAAGGAACTGAAATTGCGGACGCGGAAGCTGCCCGGGGTCCCCGCTCCCTCGGACCGCTGCCCCGGGGAGAGGGTCGTGCGCGCGCGCGCACGCCGGGGCGGAGATCCGGGACGCTGGGGGGCCCCCGGGCCGCGGTGCTTTCTGGTTGCACGGCGTGCGCAGGGTTGCCTGTCCTGCCAGGCTGCCGGGGACGGCGTGCTTCTCGCCGGGGCCCTCGGGGAGGGAACGACTCACGTTCGTGCTCAAAGCCGCGCCTGGGGATTTTGGCGGTCCTTGGGCCGCCTAGCCCTGGCGCATTGTGTGCGGCGAGGGACCATCCGGGACCCCCCCCCCCCACCACCACCACGGCGCTCTCCCTTTTGGGGTTATCCGGGATCCCGGAACAGATTGATCAAAGGAAATAATCCCCCGGCCACTCCTGAAGGCCCATTTCCTGACCCACGTGCCCCTAATTCGGTTTATAACCTTCCTTTGGGCTGGACTCGAGTTCTTTCCGGGAGTAGCTCACGTAGCGTCCCTTACTCTCAAATTCTGCAAGTAGTTAAATTCTGATTGACCCCTCTGTCAGAATCTGAAATGTAAACACTGGGGTCTCTCACCCTTTCCAGTTAGCTAGAATTTGCTCACTGCCCCCCTTAGGCCCCCTGAGTAAAACAGGCAATCCTTTCACCTTTACTTCCCCCCACCCTTCTACTTTCTTCCTCTACCTCTCCTTCATCCCTACTTTTCTACTTTTTCCCCCCCTCCATTCCACATCTCCCTTCACTGGGCCTAATTGCTTGTCTTTATCATGGGCAGTGGCGGGCCATCAGAGTTGAAGCTGTGTGCATTCTTCACAATCCCGGATATGTAAACAGGAGAACTCCACAGACAGCACTGCATATTTCCAAAAGATGAATAAAGCCACTTAGGCCTACATATTGAAGAAAGGCTGATTAAAATTTTTTAAATAACGCTACATTAAATTAGTATCTCCAATTTAAAGTAGAACACAGAGAAGTCAGGACAGATAACTGATGTTTTGATAAAAAGTGATTAACATTTTTTGTTGGTGTTGCAGCTCATCTGCAGAGAAGGTTGTGATGATTGTGTTATGTTGTGTTTTTCCCTGTCTAGATCAACGCAGGATGTATATTTGAGTAATATCTGATTTCATGTTTAGACAGTAATTCCAGGTGGGATAAGTTATATTCCAGGCATCTGAATACTTTCAGACCTGTTACTATGCTCTGGCGCCGAAGCAGTTAGCATTGGTGAAATTAAAACAACAACAACAAACACTGCACTGAAATATTTGTATAAGAAAATTCACCACAAAAACTTATAAACACTAAGCTGTTTTAATAGTTACTTATTTTTTTAAAAAAATATATTATCCCAAACCAAGGAAAAAGCCATACCTCATGAGCCACCAGAGTAGCTGCTGGAATGTAGAGATTTTTATTTTAAAAATCATGTAAATATGAGGGAAGTATTATTGAACAAAAATATGTCTGAGATGACTTGTTCAATCATGATTAAATACATCAAGTTCATAGATACTTGGGTGAGAGAGAAAATTCATACTGTTACCTGCTGTCTTCCTTTTTTGCTTTTTAATGCCAAAGGTATATGGCTGAATTTTTATTAAGCATTGTCGTATTTAAGCATTTCCACTTCCTGCAGTAGGGGTCTTGTGTTTAAAGGCATTGTGTTCCTGAGGTGGTTAGAGCAGCTTCAAGGGGCGATGGGCCAAAGACTGGTAAAAATAGTCAGTCCCTTTTCTGCCTCGAAAGGTAGGAAGCTGTCAGCCTCGGTTTCCATAGAGCATCAGGTACCTGCTCGCTTCTGGTGGAGGCTTGTGGGCCTTGCTAACGTTTGCTAAGGTTCTGTTCCGTAGGCTCTTAATTGCTCTGCAAGTTGGGAGGGAAGGTGGTAGAATGAAGAGGAGGTCGGCCTAATCTCTGCCCAGCCAGGCTTGTAAAGAATCTAGTGATGGGATTGTGTGTTTCACAGGTGCCTTTGTTTCTGAAGAGAACAGGATTTGGCTTTATTTCATTTCCTTTCCCATCAGTGGAATCCTGGGGCCGCTCTGAAACAAAATGCCATTATTATAATTTTATGGCACCACCCCCACTTCACTTTTAATATAGTGGACTTGCTTACTTCTCTTCTTATATCCTTCCCCCAAGCTGTGGCTTTGGAAGAATCATTTTATCAGCATTTATCTTGACAGGGGATCTGCTTATATATTTGCAGGTACACACCCTGAGGGCAGTGAGGACCTGGGCATTTGGGTCCTCAGTGGGTTTTGGTGTTGCCTCCTGGACCATGCCCTAGCCATCCCCCTCGCCCCCCCAAAACTGTGGTACTGCAGGGACTGACATCTAGCCTCATACAAGCCCAGGTCCAGGGAGAGCCTCCAGGCTCATCCCTGAAGTATCCCTTCCCTGTGGCCTTCTGGAACATAGGGATTGGGAGTAGAAACCAGGCCGGGGATTGGTCTTCAAGAGAATGGGGAAATGCTTCCAGATTTCTGCTCCAGGATTTCTCTCTCAAGTGAGGGGTCTCTGGAAAGCAATTGTTGACCTTTGCTATGTTTTGTTGCAGGGGAAAAGCCTTTCAAATGTGAATTTGATGGCTGTGACAGGAAATTTGCCAATAGCAGCGATCGGAAGAAACATTCCCACGTCCACACCAGCGACAAGCCCTACTACTGCAAGATCCGAGGCTGTGACAAGTCCTACACTCACCCCAGCTCTCTGAGAAAGCACATGAAGATTCACTGCAAGTCTCCACCACCTTCTCCAGGAGCCCTTGGTTACTCATCAGTGGGGACTCCAGTGGGTGCCCCCTTGTCCCCTGGGCTGGACCCAACCAGGAGTCGCTCTAGCACTCTGTCCCCTCAGGTGACCAACCTCAATGAGTGGTATGTTTGCCAGGCCAGTGGAGCACCGAGCCACCTTCACACACCTTCCAGCAATGGAAGTACTTCGGAGTCTGAAGATGAGGAGATGTATGGGAACTCGGAAGTTGCGCGGACGATACATTAGAATTTTCTCGTAATAATAATAATGTCATAAGTGGGAGTCCTTGGACCATATCCTAACCTGAGACAATGCCGAGCCTGAGACAAACCCTTGACTCAGCCTTGCCACCGGGTCTAATTAGCCCTATTTATTCAGTATGAAACCCTATGGTGTTTGTACATTTAATTAATTTAATTAAGATATTTGGGCTTTTTTTCCCTTCCTTCTTCTTAGAAAACAAACAAACAAAAAAACAACCAAGCTGGACTTGTACGTCGCAGGGGGACAGGGCTAGGAGCAAGATGTACCAAGGGTTAATCGGGATACACACTGCCAATGCAATATATGTGTACTTTGAAAGGAGCGAGAAAAAGCATGAAGTCAGAACTCCACAGAGCAACAAGGCCCTCTGCATTTCCTGCCGTGCCTCGAGAATGCCTTTAACACCATAATGTGGGCTTCTTTGGAGCCTCTTCACCTCCTCCTTGGGCCCCAATCCTAAAAAGGCCTCTTGATTGTAAACCACATACTTGCTGCGTGGCCAACAGATCTTAGACTGTACCTGTGTCCAAAAATCTTTGTAAAAACCCTTTAAGTCCTGATAGTTGTAATTTTAAATTTCCACTCTTTTATTACTGATCTCATCGTAACACGCTATTTTTATACAGGATTGTTTCCTCAGTACCCCGCTTGTATGATTTAAAGAAAAAAAGATGCAGCAAACTTAATACGTCTCCATTTATTGTGCTACTGTGATTGTTCCAGCAAAAAAGTAGAGAGAGGAGAAAGCTGCTGCAGTAGGGCAACTGTGAAACTGTGATATTTTGTGAAATAGAAGAAATTCAAGTGCTTTCTTTTCTCTCTCTCTCTCTCTCTTTTGTTTTAATCTGAAATCTCAGATGCCGCCTCTTGACTGGGTCCAAACTTCTCGTGTGATAAAAAGATCAGTCTTAGATAAGGTTTTTTGGGATGCCAAAATTAACAGGCAAGTCTAAGGAGGTGTGATGTTGGCAACATGCCTATTTTTGGGGAAAACTGTTGTTTTTAAAACAGGCCAAGCCCTCTTTTATACTGTTGTATCAGCCTTTAAAAAAGTCTTTATTTTTCAATGCCCGAAACTGCATTTTCATGCATTTTTTTTTCCCACCTGAGCACTGAGCACACGGAACTGGATCCCATTTGGAAATGACAAGTGTGTGAAGTGTATGATTTACATTAAAAGAGGGGAGGGAGTTGCTATACATATTAAAATTTTTAAAAGGTTTATAGTTACCACCAAACACTGATGAATGTGTGACCTTTGCCAGAGCTGTCAAGCAAGAATAAAAAAGGTCAAGGACCTAGGACAATAACTCTTAGTCAATTTATTTTCAGTTCGTGCAACACATCTCGTGCAAAATACAGTCCATCATAAACATCATACAAATATCCTAAAGAGCACTAATTTATCCTCAGAGACCCTGAAGCCACCCCCTCCCCAGGGTTTGTAGAAATTTGTTTTGTGTGCTGTGAGTGGTTGATGCAGTCTTGTCATTGTTAATAACTTGTATGTGAACACTATTATTTTGTACAGTTGAATTAATTTATTTTCAGACATCATCCTTTGTTTTTCCTGGAAGAGTTCAGAGCACACCAAAGAATTATATTATACATTTTGGTGAAAGATTGTTGTTTATGACCCACGGTTTATTTAAGGAAAAAAAAAAAGAAAAAATGGGGGAATATATTTTTAAGCTTACTTGAATGAACAACGTAATGTGAAAACCAGGACTCTTCCTGCATGTCTTTTTTGCATTGTGTTGACAAGATTATATATAGTTTATAGATATATTATATTACTAGTACAGTGCATGGTGCTGTCACTTGAAAGCCTTTCAATGTTGTCTTCAGATTGTTACAGTGGATATGAAACATGCAGACCCTCCTTTATAAAGAAAAAGACCATAAAACTTGAATATAATTCTACATTTTTTAAAGTTTATTTGATTTTCATATTATTCACTTTCAGAGCTCTTTCAAATAGACAAAGTATCTGTGAACTTTGGGGGGATAATTTATCGTAAACTTATTAGAACAAAATATTCCTGATTTATAATGAGTTGTTTTATTTATACAACTTTTTCAATGGTAGTTTGCACTATTCTTTATTATGCTACAGGTTTATTTATTATGAAACAAAGGAATATGTATTTTATGTATTTTGCCATGCATAGGTTTACTCTGCCACAGATTTATTGGTTCCTGATACACCTAAAATGAAAACTTTAAATGTGTACCTCCAATAGAAAGAAAGCAAGAATGATTATGAAGTAAAAAATTTAATAAAGGTATTCTTCCTATGTATTGTTTATGTTTTACCTAATGGTATATTTCTGCCATTCTCTTACAAACAGAACAGGTTGCTGACCAGTGAACATTGGGTTCTCTTGAGCTCTTTATTCTTAGCCTCTCCCCAAGCAATAAAATATTTTTACAGCTTGGTTTAATTTACAATCTAATCTAGGAAATACCATGTATATATGAAGACTAAGCCCTGTAAGTTGCGTGTAACACTAGCGTAAATCTTAGGGGTTACTGCAGTCATTTGTTAATAATATCCTCAGTGATCCTAATCACTGAAAATCTGAGAAGTGAATTTGAGCATTTCTTCGGTGCCTAGCCTCTGAAGTAAAAGGGTAAAAATGAAGAAAAGATGCAGGGACGGTGAGAGGCTTCCAGACGCAAAGAAGGTAAAATCAGGAGCTGGGATGGGTACGGAGTTAAAAGCTTGCTGAATGAAGAGTGGGCATCAAATACCTCTCATCATCAGGTAATGGGGGGGGCTGCTTCCAGTTTGATTGTGGTTTATTTGCAAGTTGAGCTGATCTAGGAATCCTAACTCAGCATTTTTAGGCATGTGGTAGCTAGAAATTAGACTCATGGCAACAAAATATCCAAGTGGCTCAAACTAATGTAATTGGCTATCCACATGAACAGGGCTGATCTTGTTTTTCAGTTAGCTGATAAAAAACTGATAAAAGGCAAATAGTTAAAAAAAAAAAAAGAAAAGAAAATTGGTAGTAACGGCAATAAGCAGTTCTCCGAAAGTTTATGGTGGTTTTTAAAAGTCAGGTTTGTTAATGTAGTGAAGGTGAAACCCATGGCAAAGAGTTGTTTTAAGCCAGATGACAATAACCAGCACACGAAGTAAAAAACACCCATAGCTAAGGGCCCCAATCAATGGGAAAACTTATAGCTCTCTAATGAAGTTTCTCGTGAAAGGGGTGACACAAAGCCACCAAGACATGAATCATTCATGGGAAATATAAAAGATAAAAGATATCTGACAATGAGCAGAACCTTGTATAGAGTGTATAAAACAAGTTTCCCCTTCTTATTTTCTGCTTTAAAACGCACAATCTCCCACTCCCAGAGTTCTCTGTCCAGTCTATAGAGTTAAAATTGACCACTGCTCGTCCTCCGCCACTTCAAAGTAATTTAGTCCAGAACGGAAGGCTTGGCGCTTGGACAATCTTCATGGTGTGTTAAGATTTCTATGGCAATTGGCAAGCAAGACGTCCCCATCTGAATATGTCTCAAAGAAAGCCACTTATTGACACTAAGTTGGCTATCATCAAAGACTTCATCTCTCCTAGGCAAAACGTCGCCCTTGTGGCCCTCACAAACATTTTAAATCATCTACCTTTGTTTTCCGGGCTAGGAGAATCTTCCAACACATGGTTATTTGTAGTGGATGTCTATCTTTTCCCCATTCAGGACTTTGTTTGGTAAAACTTATGCTCCAAAAATCGAAAGCACTGAGAAATAGCTTGAGGGTAGGAATTCTATTCTTTTAAGGGGTTGGAGGTGGCCACACAAGAAGGATAGCACGGGGGACAGGAACAGAGGAGGCCCAAAGTCCTTGAAAGTGAGGCCCAACTATCTATGGATGTGTTTGTACTGCAGTCTTGCAATTTACTGAATTTTGCATTTTGTGGAAGTTGTTTGAGACCATAGTGGTTCATTCTGTCTATCTACCTACCCACCGAGTATCTAATCTATTATCTATCTATCTATCATCTCTTTCTCTATGAAATGGGATGAGAGATGTTCCCCCTGAAGGAATTTTTAGCCTAGTTTGATTAGGAAATAGGACTGGGGGGAGATAATCTGGTTTTTCCAGTGATCATCTAAATCAGAGGAAAGGAAAGCTGAATAGGAGAGAAACAATCCAGACACTTATTAATACTTTCAGCCCGTCACATCACACTACCCATCATCTACCAAAATAGACATATGTCCCTGAAAACCCACCCTCCGGAGCTGGAGGGATGGCTAAGGAGACCCACAGTGACACTGCCCTGGGGTTGCCAGCCCAGCACTTTCCCTCCGTGAACAAAAACTCACAGACCATCCCCCCTCCCACGCCCACGGCCAAACACTCCCGGGCACACACATTCACACAGGGCACAAGTGCCTAATCAGGCAGGGAGAAGTTCAAAGGCATGTTCTTTGAAATTCAAACTACTGCTTTTATGGCACACCCACGCCGAGCGTGAGGATTGCTATGGCAATGGGCTGGGCCAGGGCAGTCGCGGGCAGAGGCTCCGCAGCGATTGGAGACACTCTATTAAGATACAGTTGCAGTGACCTGCACTTTCATGCCAACTTAGCGCCCTCGATTTTCACCTCGTCGGAAATACACGTATTACATATAATGTTGCCCATATAATATGACACGCACGACCTATATAATAACATACGTCTTTCCACCCACTTGTTGTTACGATCTCCCATTGAACCTGCTAGCTCGCGAGAAAGGGGAGAGGGAGACAGGGGAGAGGAAGAGAGAAAGCCGGGTGGGGGTGGGGTGGGCGCACTTAGAGGAGGAGACCGAGCGGGGGGCAACCGGGTTCCAGTTCCTCTTCCTTCTCTCCCCACCTAAGTACTTTTATTTGCAGAGCGATTGTTCTTTGTTTATTTAATACAAGTACTGTGTGAATGGTGAAAAATAAACACGATGAAAAATAACCAAACAGATGATT